GATGCCCCCGAGCTCGTCAGCGCCGGTTCGAATCCGAGAGCTCACGGCGGCTCCCGGCTCAGAGCTCACTGTTCGCGGAGACCCGGCGGATCCCAGGGCCGAACAGCCTACGACCCAACTACCGCGCGCGCCGCGCTCCGCGCATGCGCACGCACGCGCTGGACTGGGTGAAGTGGGAAGGAGGGGACTTACCTCGGACTGCACGTACCAAAAGACCCGTCCGCCGTGGGAGGGGTCGCGGCCATTGCGCGCCCACCAGGGAATGTGGCGCCAGCCCTGGAACGGCGCCAGGGAGAATTGTAGAGGTTATGTAGTACTCAGTTCCGATCTTGCTAGAAGTTTGCTAGCAAGTGGGCAGCAGCTAGTAACCAGCGTAACAGTCACCACTTGCTCCCCCTACTCAGTCTCACTTGGTATATCTCATGGTGGCAAACGGGACTTTTGCAAGGAGGAAAAAGATAGATGAGGCAGTCAGTCTTAGTCCCTTGAGGTGCTTCGGAAAGCAGGAATTTTAAAGGTTCGCGAGAAGATGACTTTTCTGGGATAGGCTGCCCGGAGAATCATTGGCCTTTACCCGCCCAGCTGCTCTCCCTCCCACTTCCCGCTACTCCCACACCGCTAGCTTATTCCCACTGTGACGATGTACCGCCCAGCCAATTGGATTTGCTCCCTGGGGTGAGGCAGTGCAAGAATGAAAGGCGTGGCTGGGCCGAAGAGGCGTGATTTCGCTGCCTTCCACACCTCCGCCCGGTTTCCATCGCTGGGGGGGGGAGGGGGGAACCTCCTTTTTGTTCTGAGCTGCTTTTATCATAGGACGGATATCCCGCAAGATGGTTGGTCAATAGAGCTTTCAATCAACTTTTGTCCCGCCTTTTACCCCTCCCACCTTTCTCAGCGAAGCTCAGGAGGTGGAGCCTAGGCTGAGAGGGCGGACCTTGAAGTGGGCGAGTGTACTACTGCGCATGCTTGCGACTTGGGCCGAGACTGGGGTTTCTTTTCCGTTTCAAGCGAGCGTTTACGTTTGTGCCCTGGTTGGGCTTTCCTGCTACTTCTCAACCATGTTTTTCTACCCGCTAGAGCCCTGCCCGTGACTCTCCTGGCTCTGTGGTTTTCTATTTTATTTATTGGGTGCCTGTTGTGTCAAGCACTGCCAGGCTGACCTAATCCCTCACCCTTCTCTGCCTGGAAAACTCACACAGAACCCAAATCAAATGGCAGCAGCCTTCAGCAGGCCTTCCCGGACATCTCTACACTGCACCCCAGTCCAAAGCCAGCTTCACCGTCTCTTCTGGGCTGTCCTTTATTATAGCCTTGCTCACACTAGTTATTCAGTAAGGAGTATACTAGTAACTTCATACCAGACCATGATGGGAGGAAATACTGCATTTGAGAAGTCTACTGTGGGCTAGACAATCAGGTCTATCACTTCTCGGTCCTCAGCTCCTACCCTTCTTCTTCTCACTCCACTCCAACCATACTATTCTCCTAGCTGTTCCTGAATAAAGCAGGCACAATCCAGCCTCTGTGACTTTGCACTTGCTGTTGTTCCCTTTGTTTGGAATGCTCTTCCCTCAGATATTCACATGCCTCATCCCCTCTTCTTCCCAGTCCTTGCTTCAATGTCACCTTCAGGAAGCCTTCCCTGACTACCCTAGTTTAAAATGCCTACCTGCAGCCCCATCATTCCAGATCCTCAGACCTGCCTCCACAGACCTTTTGAATAGCACCAATCAACTTCTAACAATTTACTGTGCTTATTCTGGGTCTCACCCTAGTAGAATATCCACCTCTGCCCCTCAGGACAGGGATCTTTTTTATCCATTAGCGTCTCCAAAGTGGTAAGAACACAACAGTTTGTTGAATGCCTGAATGGCAAATAGCTCTAGGCAGAGAGGAGACAACCTTGTCTCACCCTGTCCTTTGTGCCCGCTGGGTGCAGGGGGCTAAGTACAGTCACCCAACCCCTGCCCACTGAGCCCCATCTTTTTTAAAAAAAAATGTTTTACTGATTTCAGAGATAAGGGGAGAGAGGTAAAAACATCGATGATGAGTCACTGATCAGCTGCCTCCTGCACACCCCCTACCGGGGATAGAGCATGAAACCCAGGCATGTGCCCTGACCAGAAATGGAACCATGACCTCCTGGCTCATGGGTGGAGCTCAACAACTGAGCCACGCCAACCAGGCCCACTGAGCCCTATCTTGATGGTCCTCAGTGGGGCAAACATGACAGAAGTAAAATGGCACGTGTTGGAGAACTAAGATGCAAGCAGGATTCGTGGGTTTTTGATGAAGGGTGTCAGATGCAAATAAAGCTGCAAGGGGAACCAGGAGCTGTAGTAGGGAAGCAAGGGACAAGTGTCTGGACAATCAGGAGCTGCAATGGGGGAGGACCCAGTGAACAACGTGTCTAGAGTACCCATGAAGGAGCTGGAACAGTGGAGAAAGGGGGCAGAGGAATTTTGTGTGCAAGCCTCAGATACTGCAGTGGTAGAAACAATGGACAGAGGTTTGGAGTACTCTGGAGCAGCAACAATGAAAAAAGTACCTGTGGTGGGAAAACCTCCATTTGACCTAGACAGCTAGCATCACTACTAACTAGATGCCAGAGGTAAAGCACCTTAGTCCCCAGTGTCCTGGTGGGAAATAAAAAGGAAGTGTAAAAGGGTGAGGTCACCCAAGGAAAAATAGTTGTGAGAGGAAGGTGGCCAAGGGTACACGGTACCTGGAGTCTGAAATTGGCCCAGGAGGCAGTGGATGTGGGGACAGGCTGTGATGGGTTTCAGGCCAGGTTCAGGGGCAGGTTGTGCTATTCCCAATAGGCAGGTTTGAGTGAAGGGATAAGGAGCCTGTTTCTAAGTGGCTGGGTGAGGGACAGAGGTATGAGTGGCATCCTCAGGCACCAAGTGGCCAGACTGGTGCTTTCAATTGTCTGGAGTGTTCAGCCAAGACCAAGGGCAGAGTGTGCGGTCCTGTCCTGGTAGGGCCTGAGGTGAGCCTCCTGTTGCCTACTCTAGCCAATCAGCAACCCACAGCTGACTCTCTTCTCCAAGTTAGGAGGCCTTAGGACAGACAGACCAGGTGGGGGGCAAGGGGAAGAGATTGGGAGGGTGGGGCAGGAAAGGGTCCTTTCCTCTACAGGTGTCCTCAGCTAAATACTTTAATAAGCTACTTTGACCCAACATCAACATGGCATGGCAGGGTGTTAGAAGATGGAGAAGGCAGAATTGGAATCCAGATCAAATAAACTGGACCCAGGTACCTGTTGTCTATGGCCTCACTGGTATCTCCATTTCTTCCCAAGCAGGGAGGGCAGGAGGAACAAGGTGACAATTCCCACATTTTCTCTGCCCAGGAAACAGGCAGCTGGAGGGTGGGGCTTAGCCTTTTGGGTTACCACCTGAACCAGACAGCTCCCTTCCTTCCCTGGAACCAGCAGGGCATGCCATGTCTGAGTTAATAACTGTTTATTAGGATTCAAGGTTCTGAACAAGGTAGGAAGCAGTGGTAAGAGGGGTTCAGGTGGGGGGATGAGGAGGGAATACCAGGCTTCGCTAGCTGGGTCACTGCCAGAGGTCAAATGGGAACCCTGGGCTGGAAGGGATCTAGAGAAGGGGGGCTTGGGGTCAGCGAATGGTGTATCGTACGTAGGGGACCTCAACATCCTCGCCGCTCTCGTCGTTGCAGCACAGCTCAAGCACCAGTGCCCGCACATGGCGGCCCAGCTTTCGCTTCGACACACGGCTTACGATCTCTGTCATCCTGGGGGCAGAAGAGCAGAGAATCAGAGAGGCAGAATGTGAGAGAGAGGAAGGGCAGGTGGGTGAGGGGAGCCCAGGAAGTGAAGGGTGATGAACAGGAGTAGGATAACTATAAGTTGAGGCTCCCTGCCACCCAACTCACGGCTGATCCAACCGTTCCTTGAGCTTGGCAGCTGGCATGAAGAAGGAGTAGAGCATAGACACGCCCTGGGACAGCATGGTGATCTCCAATTTATGCTCTGTCTGGAGGAGGGAAGGGGGATGGCAGTGTCATGGGGGTGGACATGCCAGTCATATGCACACTCTGCCTCCATGTGGGGAAAGAATGAGGAAGGGGCCTCACCTTAAAGTAGTCAAGGAACTGTTTGAGGGTCATCTCCTCACCATTAGGCTGCAGCCCCTGTACCTCAAAGCGATCCCACAACGTCCACTCTCGGTTATAGTACTGTGGGACAAGAAGCAGGCCAGTAAGATGGGGGCCACCAGAGGGTCTATCCTCATCATTCTCCCCGCTCCACTCATGCAGAGACATGCTAAGCAAGATCACAAGCCTCTTTTGTCCAAAATTCTCTTGTGGCTTCTGCCTCACCCTAAGCACTGAAACCTTACGATGACCGACAAGGCCCTACGTCATTGTAGTCCTACTCTCTTACTCCTCACCTTAGTCACTCTACTTTAGCGACTTCTTTCTCAAACATGCCAGGTAGGCACACTCCCTTCCTCCCAGAAGCCTACAAGGTCTGTCTCTTCAACTCCTCTAAGTATGGACTCAAATGTCATCTTTTCAGCAAGGTCTTTTGTGACCATCTCACATTTAAAATCCCAAACCCATCCCCTTACTACCTAGTACTCTCAAGTCTTCCTTATCCTGCCCTTTTTAGGGGGTTGCTCAATAAATACTTAAGTGAATTAATAAATGAAGCCAGTAAAAGAACTTAGCATAGTAAGCACCTAATAAAGGTTGGTTACTATTATTGTATAGTTATCAACAATTTCCTAGAGCACAACTCAAATGTCCCATCTCTTCTGAGGGCCTCCACAGGTAGAATAAGACCAGTGCTTAGCACATAGAAGGGTCTCAATAAATAAGAGTGAATAAACAAACAAGGGGTAGACAAAAGGAGTAGGTACACACTGACAAAAACTCTCACCTGGCAAAAGCCCATTAAGCAAACTAGAGCCAGCTCTACAGAGAAACACCCCACCCACAAGCCTACCTCCCGATGCAGGTCCTCACCTGGTGACGGGGTGCGGGAAGGGGTTCAGAGAAGCCGAAGAAAGGTAGGGCCAAATTGAGGAAACCATTCTTGTAGGAGTCAAGCCGTCGGTGCCCCTGAACTACCTTGTATAGCTCCAGGCACACAAGGCCAACCACAGCTGCTGTGGTTGTGGCGATGGCTGGGATGATCTTCCCTGCAATCAGCTTGCTCTGTGAGGCAGGAGAAATCAACGAAGGTGGTAGTTAAGAAGGAAGAGGCTCCCAGTCTACAGAAGGGATGGAATGAGGGGAACTCAAGCCTGGGAGAGGGTGAAGTGTCAGGTCTAGATCCCCTCACCTTGTGCCGGTCTGCAGCAGGAATGTCATAGTTCTCTGCCCGGAGGTTGGATGCAGCCACAATGAAATCCATATGGAAGTTGGTGTCATCATCCTTTTACGGGTAGGGGAAGGGTGGGAAGATGAGAGGATCAGAGGAGGAAGAGGATGCCTGGCCTTTGGGGACACTGCAATTACCTGCTGGGCTCTCTCAGATCACAAAGGCATGGCTGGGAAAATCTATTTGTTCAGGGTTGCATGGAAAGCCCGTGATCCAATCCCTACAAAGGCCTGGGGCTGCCTCCAGATCCCCAGAGATCTGTTCTGCCCAGCCTATTTGTGTTTAGTCCACCCCCCTTGACTGCCCAGGGTCCCCACCCAGCACCTTCTCAAAGTCGATGGGGTACATCTTGAACCCAGGGAGCTTTTCTGGACTAGGCAATGTGGCCTTGAGCTCCTCTAGACGGCTGTCATCTACAGAAAAGAGAAGATACCAACAGCTCTTTAGATCCCAGGCCAGCGTCCAAGATGAAAACAAAAGCCCAGGTTGGGGCAAAAGGTGTTCAGGTAAAGGATTTGAAAAGGAAAGCCATCCTGAGAGGAGGAACAAGGGGGAGAGGTAAAGCAAGGCAATGGAGCACAAACCTGAAGACCGGGGGGGAGGGGGCGGCAGGGACGACGACACATCAAGATCTTTAGAGACACTATGGAACTGAAATGATGACACTAGGAGAAAGTGGAGATGGAGAGATCCAGGTGGGAGAGCTGGAGACCTTGGGAAGAATGATGTACAGAGAAGTGGGGAGACATGGAGGAGATGCGGAAGGGGGGATGCAAAAGCTACACAGAAGGGAAGTTGGGGGGAAATATGCAGATATCAATATAGAGGAAAGATATAGAGGGGAAAAGAGAAGACATGAAAAGGGGAGAATAGATGCATATAACAGGTTGAGACAGGTGGGAGGTTTTATATATGTTTTACATATACTACATAGACATACATATATGAGAAGAGGAAGGAAGTATATGGATGAAAAGAAATGAAGGGAGAAGTAAAGGGGGGAAAATATACAGAAAGGAACATGTCAGGGTAGATATTTGGAAAGGAAGATGGGAGGTGATGAGAGACGGAAGACATATGGAGAGTAAGGGGAGTGGAGATGGAAGGGAAATGCAGGGGGAATAACAGCTACAGAAGCATCACCTATGGAGGGAGAGAGATGGAAGGGAAGGGTATGTGGATAAATACATGGACCAACGGTGAGCAAACTAAGGCCCCCATGAGCCAAATTCAGCCTGCCACCTGTTTTATTAACAAAATTTTGTGGGACTAAAGCTACATTCGTTCATTTACATGTACTGTATATTGCTGCTTTTGTGCTTCAGCTGCAGAGATGATAGCTGCAGACACTATATGGCCTGCAAAGCCTAAAAGAATTACTATTTTTACCCCTGAGGGAAAGAGATGGGGTTCTGGGGGGAAGGAAAGCTATATGAAGGGCAATACTAGGGTAAAAACATACACAGAGGGACATGAGGGTAGAAAGATGGAGGCAGATAACAAGGGAGAGAGATGATTGATGGAGATCATACCCCACCCCCAGATAAAGAGATCAAGAAAAAACAGAGAACACTTTTTCTTTCAAGGCAGATATGTACAGAGCGAGAGAGACAAACAGCTAGTTCTCCTGAGGGCTAGAGAGTGGTAAGGGAGAGGGAGTGAGGGAGAGAATTTGCCCTAACCAACCCTCTTCACTTCAAAGGAAGAGAGGCTCAAAGGAAGGTGTGGAGGAAGCCTCAGGCTTAGAGTCGCAGAGCAGAGCAAGGGGCAGAGGACTGGTAAGGAGGCTGGGCTGGGGACAAGTGGAGTGGTGACTCCTAGTTGACTGGCCAAAAATCCTCACCAACAGAGGCACTGGCGCTCTGCAGCTCCTGGTCAGAGACGTGGATCTTGACACCAGACTTGGGGGTGAACTCAGGGACCTGAACAGACTGCAAGAGTGCGGCCACAGCAGCTCGGTCCTGAGAGCCTGTCAGCCCGTAGGTCTGGGCAAACAGGTTAGCGGCAGCCATCACGTAGTCCAGATGCAGGGGCTGGGAGAAGGCAGGGCCCAGAAGGGGGAGCACATCAGCCCTCATCTGGGGAGTCTCTGCCTCCTTCTCAACCATCCGCCCACTGACCCTAGAAGATCCCAGGGAGGAGACTTACATTGTTGACATCAAAGGTGAGTGGGTGTGGACAGCGTTTGGGTCCAGACCAGAAGGGAGCTCCTGAGCTTGTGAGCTAAGGGAATAGAGAGATTTTTGAGGAGCAGGACCTGAGAGTGGAGGCCTCTCTAACAATCCTAACTCCTCACCTTGGCCCTGGATAGGCCCTGACTCACTACAGCTGGACACGCACAGAGGGCTGGAGTCAATCATGAAAGACCCAGGCTGCAGGGTTCTGTGGATGGAAGTTCCAATGCCAGGCTGAAGCAGGGAGCTCATTGAGAAAACTACCACCAATTTCTGGGCATTTGCTCTGACCAAGACACACAACCATTCAACTAACTTTTATGGATTGCCAAGCACTGTACAAACTTAATATTAGTAAGTACCAATAAATCCTCACAAAAATCCCCATGAAGTAGATACTCTACTTCACTGAGGAGGAAACTGAGGTGCAGAGAGGTTATGTGACTTGCCTAAGTGCAAATGGAGCTGGGGTTTGAATTCACACTGATTCCTGTGCTCTTAATTCCAAAATTTCTCCCCCATAATCTCCATAGCCCTGGAAGTTGGTATGACTCAGCCCACAGCACAAGGGAAACAAAGTCTCTTGCTCAAAGGAAAAGGGGTGGGGAAAACAAGTCAGGCTTAATCATTCTTCTGAGATCCCCATGCCTTGGTGCACCTGCCACAGCTGGACTAATGACTGAGAGGAGCCACATGGAGGGAGCCCACAGCAGGTTCTTGTTTCAGATTCTGCCCAATAGACCTGGCAAGTGGGCATTACCTGGTCAGGAGGGAAGTTGTGCAGCAGCTGCCGGATGTTGTTAGAGTACTGGGTGTGCCAGTGGTGGCATGCCCAGGTCACGCAGTCGGCCCAGGTCTGTGGGCGCTGCAGCACTAGGCTGCGCTGCAGGGCCTCCAGCACCTCCAAGGGTTGGGTGCCCGCCAGCCGCAAGGTCCGCTCCACAAACTTGGGGTCTCTATCAGGAATTGGAGTGGTCAAAGGGGCAGGATTACATAGCGGCCCTAGGAGTGGGCTCCAGGGCAACCCCACTTTCTCCACGGAAAGCTAGTCCTGACCCCCAGCGGTTTGAAGCCCGAGCATTCACTGATTCATGTGAAGTTTGCCTGATGCTGGGTCTATAGTACTGAGGAAAACAGAGAGGATGCCTTGGCTGGCAGGCAGGGGAAGGGGCAAGGGGGCATTTGGTTACTTACGTGAGGTATTGGTTGACATTTTCTGCTGGCTGCTTGAAGAGGCCTTCAAACTCATCCCGAGCCCACTGTGGACAGAGCAAACGAATTACATGGGGGCAATCACTGACAAAGTGGGTTTCCAGAGACATTACAGAAAGACCATCAGTAAATAAATCAAATACAAAGAACACTGCTCTGGAAGAAGGAAAGTCCCTCAAACACTGCTCCTAACCTTCCCCACTCCCCCACCCCCCACACCTCAATTTAAAAAACCAATGAACTTGACCTTGGCAGTAGTTACAATAGAGAATGTGTGAAGAAAAAAGTTATTCTTAAGCTCTCTGTACCTTACTGATGTTATGCCTCAATAAAAAAAAATTAAAGGTTGAGAGACCTTTTATGTGGAAACACATCCTCCCTTCGCAGAAGCACACTGAAGTATCAGGGAGTGAAGTGTTGTGATGTCCATAACTTACTTCAGCACAAAGAAAAAAATACACAAATCTAAGAAGAAAATGTGGCAAAACAGGAACAACTGTTAAATCTAGGTGACGAGTGGTATTTGAGTATTCACCATATTACTTTTTATACTTGTTTACATGTTGAAAATTTCCCAAAATAAAAAGAAAAAACAAACCATGCTAAAAACCTAGGCTGCTGGATGGGAAGTGAGGGAGAAAGGTTTGGAGAAAAAGCACATCTTGTACTTAGGCTTACAACACCTAAAGGCCAGGAGCCCAGATGCTGAGAGGCAGGATACCCACTCCCTTCCCTCGCCCCCCAAAGCTGATCACCTGCAGGGTGTGCTCGATGGCGTTGGGGAAGTTCTTCAGCGTGCAGATGGGGATGGACTTCTCAGGCGGGTCCTGGCTAGAGCTGTATGACTCTGTCAAGAAGGGGATCACCACCTGCACGTTGCCCTTGGTGCCCAGTGTGCCTGACTCCAGCAGTGGCTTACGGTAGTACACACAGCGGCGGTCCATGTACATGCCTGGGGCGGAGGAAGGGAGGGACATCAGGAGAGGACAGAAACACAGGCACCCTCAACACACACACACACACACACACACACACCCCACCCCCCTCTGCCCTTGATCCCCTCACCCACTGCCTCCAAACTCACGGGCATCCACGTTGTCCAGGGCATTGGCCACGCCATCGAGGTTCTGAAAGAAATCGTCGTCATAGATGCGCTCTGTGTCAGGGCCCACACGGTTCTGGTGGCTTGTCACCCGGATGTGAGGATTCATCTGGAGCACAGCCGCAGCAGCAGTGTCAGACTTTAACTTCTAGCAGGGGCAAGGTGGGGATGGGAAGAAAGAACTCAAGTTACTTGTGCATTCACCCAACCAACCACAGGAGGCTCCCTGGTTTAGCAGGAGACAGTCTGCGACAGCGCCACATGGCTAGAGCTGTGATGAATGTGGCAGGGACTCAGTAGAAAGGGAAGCAGTGATGAGACACTGAATGGAGACAACAGGCCACCCATCTGGTCTTTTGCCTACCCAACATCTACTGTTCTTTCCGGTAACAGCACCCAGGGTTGGGGGTACATTCCCCCAAACAAAACAGGATGTAAGTACACCGACAAGCAGGATCCTCTCAAATCCCCAAGTCAGGTCCTGTCCCTCCTCTGCTCAGAACTCTACCCCAGCACCCACCTCCACTGAGGGTCAAAGGAGCTGGCCCCATTTCCTTTAGCTCGTCTCCTACTGCCCTCCCACCTCTGGATCATGGCCTGGGCACTCATCTTGGCCTGGAGCACTCTTCTACTCCCTCACACCCTTCAGTCTCCAGACCCTTCTTCAACCACTGTTATCAAAACTGCAAACCCATGTTTTGAGCCCACCCAACTTCCCTTGTTTTTGCTATTTCCTTTGCACACCACTTATTACGAACTATAAATGGCATTGTCCCCTACAGAAAGCTTCCCAGCTAGATCCCTGTATAACCCAGCTTCCATTTGTGCAGAGAACAGTGAACCTAGCAGGCATAAAGCACACCCCGAGGACAGGCCTGCTTGCAAGGCTGGCCCTTGGCTGGCACCTGGGAACTTGGATTTTGGGAGGGTTCTCACCATTCCTGACAAGGATGGCTCTCTGTGCCTAGACTACTTGTGCAAACAATGTGGTTTGTGTCCAACACCTACCTTCCTTCTGGAAGTCTGGAACTTGGGTATGTGCCCAGCAGAGTGTGCCTATGTGACCAGCCCACAGTAAAAACCCTGGATGCTGAGTCTCTAATAAGCTTCCCTGGTTGACATTTCACATGCTGCAACTGGCTACTGGGGGGAATTAAGCATGTCCTGTGCAACTCCACTGGGAAAAGAGTCTTAGAAACTTGTGCCTGGTCTCCCAGACTTCACCCCGGTGCCTTTTCCCTTTTCTGATGTTGCTCTGCATCCTTAGCTGGAGAAAATCATAGCTATGAATACAACTTGACTATATGCTGAATCCTGTGAGTTCTTCTAGTGAATCACTAAACTTGGAAGTAGTTCAGTGTCCAACACAATGTCCCAACAGCATTGATAAGACATTAAGAAAAAAAAAAAGATGAAAAATTATAGATACCATGGAAGGGTACTCAATAAATGTTTCTTGAATGAGTGACAGAGAGAAACTAAAGGAAATAAAAAGAAAGGCCTCCTTTCCAGAAAGAATAGGAACAAAAGACAGGAGGAAAGTGAGATGACAAATCCCTCCCTCCTCCACTTACTGTAACATCCCAGGGCCGAAACAGAAACTGTCGGTTCAGATTTGACTTCTCAATGGTGTCCATGTCTGTGACGACAATTTCTCCGCCCTCCCCGCAGCCCAGCCCAATCATGGCAAAGTTCTTGAGCAGCTCACAGCCAATGGCTCCTGCACCCACCTAGGAAACAGCCAAGAGACAGAGCCTGGTTTATGCAGGTTAGCTTAAAGTCACCCATCACTCCTCACTCCCCCTGAAGACAGCAGGAGCCTGGATAAGGGTCTAGTGCCACATACTCAAGTCCCAGGGCTGTAAGAAATAACCAACCAGTCACCTGAGGGAGGCATCACCAGAGGAGGGTTAACAGAAGGCTGCACCAGGCTTTCCCTCAAGATAAAGATAATGGCAAAAGGAATGCGATAGAGGTATAAGAACCAAAAGGCCCTCCCTCAGGAGGCAGGAGAACCCAGAATAGGTGGCCACAGGCCAGGGGAGGTGAAGGGAGGAGGTGTTCAAGGGGATCACTCACCAGGAAGTACTTCTGCTTGCCCAGCTTCTCTTGCATGTCGGAGCCAAATACGGCCACCTGCCCATCATAACGGTCCTGACGCTAGGGAATGAGAACGGAAGAGGGTCAAAGAGGGGGCTTCCCAGAAATGCTCCCCAGTGCTGCCTTCCCTGTGGGCCACACTCACATACCGGGAGGCACTTGTCCTCTGTGAGGGCCTCCTTGTCCTCAGGGAGACACTCCAGGGCATCAAAGTACAGCCACTGCATGATGGGCATAAACTTCCCAGAGCAGGCCTGGAGATTGGGGAAGAGAGGGAAAGTGGTCAGTGGTTAATGGGGGCAAAACAGAAAAATAGCAAGTGATAGAGCCAGGTTGGCCCACCCTCAAGCCTGTCATTCTCCATCTACACCAACCTTCATGACCTCTTGGGCAGCCAGGCCCCCAATGAAGGCATTTATGGGTGCCAAATCCCCAGCAGCTACATATGCCAGCTTGCGGATGAGGTCCTCATCCAGGCTCTCCTGCTGCACTGATGGCAGGGCTCGAGCATTCACAGCCTGGGCTAAGGTCACAAGCTCTGATGCATCCTCCTGGTGGGACAGAATGAACCAAGAACACACCTATCAGGCCACTGTGGGGAAGGGTGGACAAGTAAAGAGGCACGGTGGGCCTTCAATGCCAAGGTCATCTGCCCTTGCTGGCTCACCCACCCACACACCTCATTGTGGGGCCGAGGAGGCTGGCCATGCTGAGCACAGAACTGGTGAAGGGCCTGGAAGCCAATATGCAGCTGAGCAGGGCGGGAATACTTGGCGAAGTCCGTCATCACAAAGTCGGGCTCTACCAGTGAGGCCAGCAAAGATTTCTGTGGAGGCAGGGCATCAGAACCAGAAGAAAGGAATGGAGAACCTGGAAATGTCCAAAACCACCCCTACAGTTCCCCACCCCCCACACTCACAAAGCAGATCTTCTTAGGTACTTTGACCTGACTGACGATACCGCCACGGATATAATCAGAGAAGTTGGATGTGTCACAGATGCTAAAGGTATAAGGACCTACAGGAGACAGGGAAGCTGTCAGGCTACCTCCCCTCCCCCAAACCCACAGCACCCACAAGATAAGAAAAAATCCATTCCTGACATAGCTCAGACATCAGGAGTCATATCTTCTCCACCCCAGGTTCCACTTGGACATCAGAAGCCATCTCCCTTCTGCTCTAGATCCAGCTCTGAGCCCATGAGATCCCGTGCCCCTGGCCCCGAGTCTACACTGGAAAACATCTCCTGCTTCCTGTCTAAATCAGCTCAGACAAGAGTGGATCATCTGATCTACTCTGTTCAAATACAAGAGACCTTTCCCCCTCAGTGTAGATACCAGGGACCAATTCTCCCAGGAACAGCTCAGACACAAGACAGCAACCCCCCCCCCCATGCCCACCAGCTGTGGTTGGATCCCTGGGGACTATTTCTGGTTCAACTCAGACATCCAGGGTGTGTCTCCCTTCGATCAGAGCCCAGGAACACATCTCCTATCTCCTGATTACCCAGCTTACCCAGGACTTTGATCTCCATGGGTTGACTTCCGTTTAGTTCAACCATGCCCTGTACTTCTGAAAAGGAGACAAAGTCGCCACTCTCAAACCCGTGTCGGGCCTCGTCCAGGCAGGTAACCACACCAGGGTTGTCCTGGTTAAAGAAAGAATGAGTCTTCAGAGGCAAGCTCAGGGTAAAAGGAGCAGGCAAGAAGGCCTACTGCTGCCCATCTGCCTGCTAGGACCCCTGAAGTTGGTCTCCTCACCTTGGTAACCATAGAAACCATAGCACTGAGCGGCTGTTCCCCATTGGAATCAGTGAGGATCATTTCCTCTCCAAAGTCACAGAAGAGTTGCCTGTAGAGGGGGCAACAAGGCTGATGCCTGAGTTCCATGCACGGGGGGACCCCATGTGTCCCTCAAGATGCAGCCAATGCTTGCTGAGCAAATTCAGCCCATCCCTGCTGGGAATCAGATGGTATTCATGCCACATGGGGAGGTGAATATACAGAATCTAAAACCTGGGTAGCTGAGGGCAGTGAGAGCTTGGGGGTTTTGACCTGAGCCTGGTAGGGATTGGGGAAAAGGGCAGGGACACTCACCCAAACAGGCCCCGTGTGTCTGCCACCACCAGCTTGATGCCACGACTGTGACAGAATTCACCCACCAGCAGCTGGTTTTCCAGGGGGGTGTTGGTGAGGACCACCACCTGTGAACAGAGAGGCGGAGGCTCAGCACGGGAATAATGGAGGAAGGTTGGTGCGAGGGTTCAGGGAGTCCTGAGGGCTTTGCTGGTTCAGATCTTTCACAAACACAAAGTATCTACTGTGTATCAGATTCAGAGCCAGTGAAGCTCAGTGAAGAGAAATTGAATCCCTAGGAATCCCTAGACCATGGCAGGCAAGGTAAAGAGGCAGCTGGGAGGAAAGAATCTGGAGAACATCTGACTCATTCATTTGCCAACACCCACTGCTGCCTGCCTACAACCCTGCCATGCCCTGTGAGACACAGAAGAGGTAAGACTGTTCCAGCCAAAGTCTGAGCTCACTCCTACCACACCCACTTGCTCCCAATTCTCAAGATAATGCCTAGTCAGCCACAATTCCTTGGGACTTTGCTCTCTGCCTGAATGCCCACCCTTCCCCACCATGGTGAGCTCCTATCCCTACCTCAGGGTTCGGTGGCAGTGCGCCCTGGCTGTCGGGACACCCCAGGGCAGAATCTCTTTCCCCAACTTTTTATTTAACAAACCACCAGATGGTCCTAATCATATGCCAGCTGCTATTCTAAGTGTTTAGCCTTCACAAACACTCTATGGGGTCAGTTTTACTACTACTCCTGAGTTGACAAACAGGAAAAAGTAAGTCACAGATTAAGTGACCTGCCCGAGGTCATACTAATAGAAGCAGAGACTCATGCTAAGGCAGTCTGGCTCCCATCTGTGCTCTGTCCACATGTTCCCTCCCGAAAAGGCAGGTCCAAGATCTAAATCCTGCCTGCGTCCCCTAGCTGTACTGCCAGCATGAAACCTGGCACGTAGGCCAGTCCATTAAATATTGGACAAATGAACACACACAACATGGGCTCTGAGAGAATTGGGCAGGAGGCTGGGCTGTGACCGAGGTACCTGGAAGCCACTAAGGAATTCCTCAACGAGGGGGCCAGTGTAGGCACTGACAGGCACGTAGCTGTTAAGCTCAGCGAGGCGGGGCTGGGAAACCTCAGCCCGGTTTTTACCAATGTCCTCCTCCCGCAGGTAGAACTGCAAAATAGAGTAGGAGATGAAGTGAAGTGGCTACGGAGCCTGAGGGACTGGTGTCTTGGCAGGGAAGACGGGTCGAGAAGAGGTACCTGGGAGGAGAGGTCAGCCCACTGGGCAGTGCCTTCATCATGTAGGGTGACAGCCTTGACCCCACCAAGGATGATGTTTTTGGCAATCTCCACGCCCAGTCCCCGCAGGCCTGATACCAGTACGCTGGATGTCTGGAGTCGTTTCATTGCCTCATGGCCCAACACGTATCTGCCAGGTTAGGGGGCATGCCAGATCAGGACCTGGCCCTCCTGACCATATCCTCTCAGAGCCCCACTTCCCACCTCTCCACCCGACCTCAGCCTCACTTACAGCTGCCGGGAGTAAAGGCCTTCATCTATGTCTGCTTCATTGCCGTTCTTTGCCATTCCCTAGGGATGGAGGGGAAGAACAGGTTCAAGGAGACATGTGGAGTAGGGTGTGGACAGATGGACAGTGATACAAAGGATATTCCCAACCACCACCCCAACCACCCCGCCTGCCAGTTTCCAGAAAGAAGACACTTACGTTGGTTGGCACAGAGGACACTTCGGACAACACAGAGTGGGCAGGGGAACAGTTAGAACCCGGCTTTGGATCAGGCCCGGACACGCGACGTTTCTTGGACAGCGGCGAGCTGGACATCTGGAGGAAAAAAAGTAGGTCAGGTAGGCCTGGGGAATGTGGATGTTTCTGTTGGTTAGTGGAGAGTGTGGGGGAAGGGAAAACTTAAGGGCTAGTATCCCCATTTTACAGAAGAGGAGACAGGTACATAGAGGTGAGGTGACTTGCCCAGGGTCACACAGCTGTCAGAGCTAAGCTCTGAACCCAGGTGGTCTGGCTTGCAATCCATGCTGCTGACCACCAGGCCATTTCGCCTTTCTCCCCAGCCCAGCATAATGAGGGAGAGACTTCAATCCTGTAGGGTGAAAGGAGTGACAAGAAGAATGTACTTGTGGGGAAGTCAGAGGAGGGATGGAGATTTAGGTCAGCCTGCCACTCCTTAACAGATCTCATTTAACCACTATGAGCTCAGTTCCCTCACCTGTAAAATTAGGGTGATAATACCACTTATCTACCCCATGGAGTTGTTGAGATAGAACATAGACCATAGAGCCTGGCACAGAGCAGGTGGGCAAAAATGAGTAGCCATTCTCCTCTCCCTTAACCCCAGTGACAGGGGTTCGGGAAGGAAAAGCGGCTTGGACATCCATCAGGGTAGCATGATAGCAGAGAATCCAGTCCCCAGAGGGGCTCAGGGAGGATGTTTTACAAAGCCCAAACTCCACCCCTTCCTCCCACCCCAGCTCTGGGAGACACCCAGGCCAATAAGAGGTGGCAGGGAGAGAGAAGACACACACCTCCCAAGCCCTATCTGCACATGGAGTCCCTTAAGCAGGTTAACAATGATGATGTGTTACTAGAGTCCTCCCTGGGCTAGACATCATACTAAGTACTTTTATGCGCCTTCCCTCACTTTGTTCTCAGGGCACCCCCATGGAGTTGGGACTACTATCAATAACATTCCCCAACTCACACTGAAGGGGGAAAAAAATCACTTAAGGACGTGTGGTGACTCGACTGAGGTTCCCACAGAGAGTAACCAATCTGGACCCAGACCAAGATCTGCTGTGCCTGAAGCCCAGGCTGCCTCCCAGTGTGATCAGGTGTCATCCTCTCAATGGTCGTGACCCTGCAAGACAAGGTTGAGCATCCTTGCCAGACAAATGGGAAAACCCGAGTTTAAAGGGCAAGGTAACTTGCCAAGTGTCACACACTAGGTCCCAGAGACAGAACAATACAGACTGCTGTGGAAGTGAAATCTGGGGATGGGGGCGGTGACTGGATCCAGACACTGGAGAATCATTTTCCCTCGCTTCTATGGCTCCTCTAAGCCTCTGTTCTACACTGAGCCTGTTCTAACACACCCAATCACACTGAGTACAACCGCTGTACCTAAGATTCCATCTTGGCACCTGTCACACTCTAGCACTAAGCAAGATGACAGGAGCTCCCTGCTATCTATCCAGGACTTACTGCCTGTTAGTCAAAGAGCAAAGGGCTTTGCCTAATCCTAACGATGCCCATGGACCTAATAACCTTATGCCCAAATCACAAAGAAAACAAAGGCCCAAGAACTCCAGTCACTTGCCCAGAGCTTTTGGGACTGCTTGCCAAATGCTTCGTAGGGGAATAGTCAGGACCCGGCCCAGGGCACAGGACCCAGTGCTAAGGGATGAGGGGTAAGGGAGAGCCTAGGAGGCAGGAGGCAGGAGGCAGGCTAGGGCCCAAGTCAGCCAGCTTTATTACTAGGAATGCTAAGAACCAACCAACGTAGAACGCTTGGTGAATTAGAGAGACAAAGGCAAATCATATTTTTCCATTTACTGACTCTCTGACCTGGGAAGGGATCTCATTTCCTCTGAGTCCCATTTCCTCCAAAAGCGGGGACAAATGGAAATATTCTCAAGAGGCTGCTGGGAAGGTAAAAAAATCAAGGTCTGTGGGCAGAACTCAGTGATGTGAGGACATAAGTAAGCTCCTCCCTTGGCACGTGCAGTGGCCTGCATTACTTTATCTCCTTGCCTTGCCACTGGTTTGCTTGCTTGGGACACACCATTTCCCAGCTCCCTAAATCAGATATGATCCAGGACCAGAAATATCTTTAATATCTTCACCTTCTACCTCTGGACCCCTAGTGCTGGCAGTAGGGTCTGAGCAGGTTTTGGTTGATTGTTCTAGAGTGAATTTCAACTGCAGAGGTTTGGAACAGGCCAGTCTCAAAGCAAGCAGAAGGGGTTTGGGGCAGAAACCCCAGAGAGGAGCTAAAGATCCCCCACCTCCAGCACAAAACTGATATCCTTTCTCCCTCAACATATGCTCAGACCCCAATCAGGATGCAAATACTATCAACTGTTCAGCAAAGCTGAACTGAGGGCTCAGTTTCAGAACTTGCCTGAGGTCTCCAAACTGGTGATTTTGAAGCCTGAACATTCTCTACCACTCAAATCAGAGGTTTGAGGTAGGAGTCCTGGAGCAGGTTTGAGAGAGGGCAGGTCAGGTTATTAGGATGGAGAACCTAGGGCACAGGATGCTGGGGCCTGTTAAGCCTCCTAGGAGGGATTAACTGAGAAGTCCCTAGGAACATAAAAGAGAGGAGTCAGGAGGTAGTTGTCTGAGTCCAGGGAGGCTCAGAGGGAGGTGGGAAAGGGGATGTTTGAAGCCCTGGGGGCCAAGTGGGGCAGGCCAAGCAAGGTAGCTAAAACTCAAATTTTTGGAAAGGGATCTTTTGGGAAGGGCCGGGAAATTACACCCGAGGTCCCCAGATGCTGCAAGGAGGCAGGACAGTTGCTGGGCCCTGTAGAAGCACAAGGGGAATGGGTGGGGGATTCTGGGGCCAAAAGAGGCTGCAGGAAAATGCTGGGGTCTGGGAGGAGAGGTGTTCTCCATTGTGAGGATGCTGGGGCACTGAGGTTCTCTTGGGGTCAGGCTGAGAGAAATCTTTGATCAAAAATAGGGACTTGCAAAGAAAAGAAAAAAAAAACTAGGGACGTCCAGGGGAAAGGTGTCTCTGACATCTATGCCAGAGTCCCAGGAGGCTATGAGGGTGGATGCTGAGGCCCAGGGTGGGGCTGGGGAGGGATTTCTACTGGAGCACAAAGGCCTTGTTTTGATCTCATTGGTATAGGGGCTTGGGACCGCAGCTTCTCTGAGAGGGTAGAAAGGGGAGGCTAAGCCCAAACAGTTCTGGGCCTAAAAAGTTCAGTAAGCAGATACTAGCTAGGTCACCAAGTGGGGTAGGGTTTCTTTGATCAATTATGTGGGATCCTATGGAGGCTTGGAGAGTAGAGGCTGAGGAGTGGGGTTTTCTACTCTGATGGAGGACAACTGGGACTGCTGGTGGAAGGGACATCTGACAATGATGTTGGGGTCCTATGAAGCTGACAACAAAAGCTGAGGGTCTCTGACCAAAGATAATGTAGACCTTGAAAGGCTCTGAGGGTAGATTCTGAAGCCTGATGTGAGGTTAAGGAATCTGTGAGAGAAGCTGGAACCCTGGTTGGTTTCTGAAGGCAAAGGTTGAGTGAAGGGTGGGGTTTGAGAGGCAAGTCTCTGATAGAGGGGGATAGGAGCCAAAAGGGTCTGCAAGGGCAGATGCTGGCAGGGGCATCTCTGATGGATGATTATGTGTCCAAACAGTTCCTCTCTGGTACATGGTCCCCTGGGAGGCTTTGAGGGAAGATACTGGGGGTTAGGTGTATCTGATGGGGGAGATGCTGAGGCCTGCAAAGGGGTAGTCTCTGAAAAGAATACTGGGACCATAAAAAAAAAGGCATTCCTTTATAGTAGAGACAGTCTCTAGGGGCAGATTCTAGAAATTGAAAGGCGTCTATAAAGGTAAACGCTGAAGGGATCCTCTGAATAGAAGTGCTGAACCCAGAGTATTTCTCATGGAAGATGCTAGGGCGAGGGTGGGGTTGGGAGATCTGAGATGTGGAAGAGGGGTCTCTGACATGGAGGCCAGAGCCAAATAGCCTTTCACAGGGTCTAGTCCCCTTGGAAGCTGAGGGCAGATTGATTGATTGTGTGTGTGTGTGTGTGTGTGTGTGTGGTGGGGTGTCTGAAGGAAGATGCTAGATTAGTCTCAGAAATGAAAGCCTATGAACCCTCCCTCCCCAGGGTCTGGCCCATCTTGGAAGCTGCGAGGGCAAATAATGAGGGACTAGAGGTGTACGAAGGGAGATTCTAGAGAAGGTCTTTAATAGTTGGCTGGTCTC